CGACTAGACATGACGCTACAGACTCGTCCGTCGAGACATGACGCTAAGACTCGTCCGACCAGACGTGACGCTAAAGACTCGTCCGACCATACATGTCGCTAAAGACTCGTCCGACCATACATGTCGCTAAAGACTCGTCCGACCAAACATGATGCTAAAGACTCGCCCGACCAAACATGACGCTAAAGACTCGTCCGACCATACATGTCGCTAAAGACTCGTCCGACCATACATGTCGCTAAAGACTCGTCCGACCAGACGTGACGCTACAGACTCGCCCGACCAGACATGATGCTAAAGACTCGTCCGACCAGACATGATGCGAGACTCGTCCGACCACACATGATGCCAAAGACTCGTCCGACCAGATATGATGCTAGACTCGTCCGACCAGACGTGATGCTACAGACTCGTCCGACCAGATATGATGCTAGACTCGTCCGACCAGACGTGACGCTACAGACTCGCCCGACCAGACATGACGCTAAAGACTCGTCCGACCAAACATGATGCTAAAGACTCGCCCGACCAGACATGATGCTAAAGACTCGTCCGACCAGACATTTGATGCTAAAGACTCGTCCGACCAAACATGACGCTAAAGACTCGTCCGACCAGACATGATGCTAAAGACTAGCAACAAATGGCAAACGATGGTAATTACAGATTGGCTTTAGAAAACGGCCTATTTTAAGCTTTTCATACAAACAGATACAAAGCTATCACAGCGAAGCTAACGTGTAAACTAATGCTAACAATAGCACAGTGTGCTAATGCAGTGTTTTGCACCAATTATCAAATATGTTGCGCTTCTAACCTTGAGTTGTTACAGCTCCAGAAAAACAACAAATATAATCTTTGTTTTTTTAGATTAGATATTTATTTTTTTATTTTTGGATATTGTGACGCTCTCATGGGGAGTGAATTTGTATTTGTTAGAAAAATATTTTTCAAAAATGACAAGAATTTGTTGGGTCTTAAATTGAATGTTGAAATATCAGAACATTGTAAAAAAGAACTCTTGCTATGAAACAATTTTGACCAAATTTTTGCTGCTGTGTCAAACGAACTTGATTTATTACTTTATAGCAGTGGTTCCCAACCCCCGGGCCACGGACCGGCAACGGTGCGTGGGTCAATCGGTGCCGAGCCGCGCAGAAAGAATCCATAACTTACATTATTTCTGATCTGATTGTGAAGGATGTTTTATTTTGAAAAGGTCGGGGGTCGCTGCTTCAGTGTAATCACACGTGTCGATCAACAGTGACGTCGTCTAGTGGTTTATTTTTGTACTGCATTTGTACATGTTTTTGTGATACAAACCTCAGTATACACACACGTGTGAGTGTGTGTGTGTATACACATATATACATATAAATGTGGACCAACAGCGATTGTGGCCGATCCACGTGTAACTGTGGTGTTTCAGTGAAATAAAGCTGCGGCTCCTCCTCCACTTTCACAAAAATTATTTTCCCATTTTACATACACATTAATTGTTTTTTTATTATTATTTTTTTTTTATTAAACGCATTCCAATTTATAAGCTCGGACAGAAGGAGGCGCTCTGTCCATCCAATGATACCCCCTGCTCCGCTCATCATTCCTCCAACACTGACTGTAGGAAACAGTTCTAGTTCCTCCTGGGTCGTAACTTTCCATCATCAACTCCACGTGTCTGTGGGTGCTTCAACCTCTGGTCAGTGGCCCGGCTTGTGCCACAGTACTGACTGTATGAGATACTTTTTCATTTATATATTTTTCTTGACCTTTTTCCAGATGAAAAATTCCATCGTTAGATTAGTCACAAATAAAACAGGTGAGAAACACTGCCACCTACCTGCTGATGTTGGTCAGATCCAGTGATAGAGTTTTTTAGATTTAGGAATGTTGATTTATCCCAGTGGTTCCCAGTTATTTCCAGTCATGCCCCCCCTTGTGGACAGAAATGTTTGTATTGACGGTGACAACAACAACAACGTGTTTGTTTGTTTGTTGACGTCGGATTAGGGCATGTTGTAGGTTTGTTTTTTTTGTGTGTGGGAAATAATCCTTATTTTAGTCACTTTGGTGCGAGCCTGAACTTCCATCTTTTATTTTTATTTACTTTATTCCTTTTATATCCTTTCTTCTGTCGGAATTTTTGTCTCATTTTGTCGATAAAAAACAGTTCCAGCACCGGTGTGTTTGTCTGCAGTACTATTTATACCAGTCTCTGTGGGACTGATTGAGGAAGTCCGTTAGTGACTCCCAACTCCAGCACTATTGAGTCTGGCT